CAGTATCAAAGTGTGGTCTGTTTTAAAGTGGTTGCATTTTGTTCCACTAGTAAAAGTTGAGAGAACAACGTTTTGGAAAATTATTCCATTGATAAAAGGATCATTACTCCTTTAACATAAAAATAAATATTCCACACCACATGGTACATCCAGGAGTGGTTTAAGAAACAGAGCAATCAAAATCTGCCTTGAAAAACCCAGAGCTCCAGTTTGAATATCAATGGATTATTTAAGAGAGTACTGGAACACTGGCTAAGGAACTCGTAGAAGATCTTGGAATTCCATTACACATGAAGATGATACACTTTTCACATATCATTAAAAAATGATAAAAAATATCTACAGAAAAGAATGATCACTAGGTGAGTTAAATAAAGTAAATAATTCTCTGTGGTGTAATTAGAGGGAAAATCCTCACTTGATCTCTGGTATAATTAGAGGGAAAACTCTCACTTGATCTCTGGTATAATTAGAAGGAAAACCATCACTTGATCTCTGGTATAATTAGAGGGAAAACCCTCACTTGATCTCTGGTATAATTAGAGGGAAAACTCTCACTTGATCTCTGGTATAATTAGAGGGAAAACTCTCACTTGATCTCTGGTATAATTAGAAGGAAAACCCTCACTTGATCTCTAGTATAATTAGAGGAAACCCTCACTTGATCTCTGGTATAATTAGAAGGAAAACCATCACTTGATCTCTGAATATAATTAGAAGGAAAACCATCACTTGATCTCTGGTATAATTAGAGGGAAAACCCTCACTTGATCTCTAGTATAATTAAAGGGAAACCCTCACTTGATCTCTGGTATAATTAGAAGGAAAACCATCACTTGATGATCTCTGGTATAATTAGAGGGAAAACCCTCACTTGATCTCTAGTATAATTAAAGGGAAACCCTCACTTGATCTCTGGTATAATTAGAGGGAAACCCCTCACTTGATCTCTAGTATAATTAGAGGGAAAACCCTCACTTGATCTCTAGTATAATTAGAGGGAAAACCCTCACTTGATCTCTGATATAATTAGAGGGAAAACCCTCACTTGATCTCTGGTATAATTAGAAGGAAAACCATCACTTGATCTCTGGTATAATTAGAGGGAAAACCCTCACTTGATCTTTAGTATAATTAGAGGGAAAACCCTCACTTGATCTCTGGTATAATTAGAAGGAAAACCCTCACTTGATCTCTGGTATAATTAGAGGGAAAACCCTCACTTGATCTCTGGTATAATTAGAGGGAAAACCCTCACTTGATCTCTAGTATAATTAGAGGGAAACCCTCACTTGATCTCTGGTATAATTAGAGGGAAACCCCTCACTTGATCTCTAGTATAATTAGAGGAAAACCCTCACTTGATCTCTGGTATAATTAGAAGGAAAACCCTCACTTGATCTTTTGAACACCCATAAATTATATTTAAATAATAAAAATTTATGCAGAGGAAGGTGTTTCTTTAATCTCTGACATAAAATAAAGGTGGATTAACCTGAAATCTATAAAGACAGTTTCACAAATTAGTCAATAATAATAACAGTAAATAATAGTTTTCTTTATCTGATGCCAAATTTTTGAAATCCACTAATCCAGAAGTAGGATTTTTATAAGAAATTGACAAAAAATACATAAAAGTTTAGTGTCTAGAATTACAGTTACACAAGTTCTACTGTATCACCACACTAAAACTGTGAACTCACCACTTTCTGCAACCTTCTCTTTAACTTGGCCATCTCCTAAAGAAATACAAGTTTATATTAGTTACTGAATGAAGCATTCAGTATACACCTAAATTATTAGTTTTATTTGATTAACTCTTATTCATGGTTAAATAGATGAGCCACATAGCTTTATGAATATTTTATGACTTAAAGCTTCTTAATATAATAAAGATGTTTTCTGAAAAAGGTACTCTAACTTCTTACTTTTTGTAGTAACTCCCTTTGATCACATGTAGACTTGGAAACTTTGACTAGTTTTCCTTCTGGAATGTGAAATTTTTCCTCCACAACACTACACCTAAAAATAAAGTAACAAGAATAATCATAAACCTATGGTGATAAAGGCACAAAACAGAATAGAAATAGTAGTAGTAATAGCTGTCGAGTACAGTGAAGTAGTAATAGCTGTCGAGTACAGTGAAGTAGTAATAGCTGTCGAGTATAGTGAAGTAGTAATAGCTGTCGAGTATAGTGAAGTAGTAATAGCTGTCGAGTATAGTGAAGTAGTAATAGCTGTCGAGTATAGTGAGGTAGTAATAGTTGTCGAGTATAGTGAAGTAGTAATAGCTGTCGAGTACAGTGAAGTAGTAATAGCTGTTGAGTATAGTGAAATTGTAATAGCTGTCGAGTATAGTGAAGTAGTAATAGTTGTCAAGTATAGTGAAGTAGTAATAGCTGTCGAGTACAGTAAAGTAGTAATAGCTGTCGAGTATAGTGAAGTAGTAATAGTTGTCCAATTAACAATCATCAAATAACTATATATTATCCAAAATATTTTAGTCACCATTACTACTTTATCAATAATCCTCCAATTACTACAGTTAATAGATTTCCACATAATTATCCAGATTATAAATTGCACTCAACAAAATATTGTTTTAAAACAACAAAAATACGAAGCTTTTATCAAGTGAGGAAGAGTTGTTGAAGAAGTGATATGTTTTTATTTGTGATTTATTTTCAGGTATATGAAAGACGCTGAAGTTTTATCAGACACAGAACCATTTGTCAGTTAAAACGTTAAATACACAAACTTATTTAAGTGCACTGCAAATAATCTTTACATATTATGAACTTACACAATGTTAGTGAGGTTTTTTAATGTCCCTATTAAGTGGTCAGTAATGGACTGGTTTAATTAAAGACTTTATTAATTACTGAAATTATTAAGTGTATAGGAAAAAGAAGGAAACATCTGGACCTAAAATTTCATACTGTACAACTGTGTTTTTAAAGTATGTTAATTTTTAATAAAATAACCAGAATAAAAATTCATTTTATATTATGTTCTGATGATTATTAATCAATGATGAAAGGAACTGAAACTTTTGATGATAGTAATCCATCCCACTGTTTTATATTAATTATATGAAAGTTAATATTTTCCAACAATGAAAATGTATTTATAACATATATTTACCTCCCTCACATACTAACTTTTCCCAATTTTGTGATGCCCTCTATATGTGCAATTTTTTGACTTGCCACTAGTCTTGAGACTCCTACCTATACTCATGCTGCTGCTGTGCTGAAGCATGCAAATGAGTATGAGACAACCCTCTACCAATAGGAATGTCACACACCCTCCTAGTGCAGCTGACTCCCTCTATACTGATTGTTCAATCATCACTTCGAGATTAGGCAAGAAAAGATGCATCAGAAGTGGACGAGGACAGGTGTAAAGTATGAGCAAGGGTAAGTAACTATTGGAAATACATTTTGCCTGTTAGAAAATGTTAACCACCAATATGATACCTGACCTCCACACACATATTAGGTGGAATCTCTTATTGAAATGGTAGAGGGACCAGTGTAAAAGTTACCTAGAGGAGCACCCTCGGAAAGCACCCAAAGGGAACCCATTGAGTGTGATACCCTATACAATGGAAAATATAGGAGCACAGCCATGGGAGACCACTTCCTTTCTGTATCAGGGTATGCTCTTCGCCCATAATAAATGTATGTGTCACTGAGTTGGGCAGAAAACAAGCACAGTCCAGAATCTGAGTGTAGCATGGCTAGGGTGTGTCAGACCATGTATGGTGGGTAAACTCCCGATCGATTAGCTGCCATAACCTTTCCGTGATGGTAATGAGAGAAATATCTTGAGTATATGAGGAATTCCAAGGGATAAATAGAGGGGAGCATGAACCTCAAAACAGAGCAGCTTGGGCCAAATAAAATTGAACCACACGGACAAGACAGAAAGATGATGAGGATCAGAATAAGAATAAAGGTGAGATATGGATGGAAAGGAAATAGAAGTGAATGTGGCATCCCATTCATGAGCTGCAGACGTTTTAGGTACAAAATGATGATTAAGATAATGAAGAATATAAGAACAATGGAAAAGAATACGGGAAGCATCAATAGCATGTGTGCCAGATCGTCGACAGCCACAGGCAAAAAGAAATAAGAAATAGGTTTTAAGTGAAAAATGATACAAGGACCAAGAGGCTAAAGGCTCAAAGGAAAGAAGGATTATGGCATGAAAAACCATATTCAGGTCATAATCAGGAAGTACTACAGGATGGGGAGGAAAAAGGTGGGAAAAAAGAACACAGAAAGGACAGGAGAGGAAAATACTTGACAATTGTTCAGAAAAATGGAGAAAAGAAGGACAGGAACAGGAGAAAGCATGATACAAAGACCAAGTATGGAGTATATGCTGTTTTCCTTGGTAGACAAGGAGGAAGGAAGAATGAAAAAAAATGAGAAAGAAGAAAGGCTACACATGAAAAAAAGTCTAGAATGTCTTGCAAAGGATCAGACAAAACCCACAAGTTGAAAAACTAAGGAAAGTGACAAAGGAAGAGGAGGATCAGAGAACATTCAATAGAGAAAATCACAGCTGAGCTGGCCAGTACATAGCTATCAGGAGGACTCGACACAGAGTGTCCTGAATGAAGGATAGCACATGAGAAAGAAGAAGAATAGGAGGGTAGGCACAGAGAAAAAATGGGCCAGTCATGACTGAATGCATCCACAATTAAAGTTGATGCATGAGGAACAGAGTATCTATAAGGGGAATGCCTAGATGAGAGCACAGCCACCTGAATACCAGAGGATCAAGGGACCACTCCATAACCAAATTCAGAGCACCCAGAATATGATAAGCTATTACCCATAGTTGTAAAGAATGAGCCCAGAAAAGGAGAATGAAATTGTGGAAAAGGAGAAAGAGAGACCTGTGCCAACCTAGCAATACATATAGGAGACGACTGTAGAGTTATTTGTACAGATCATTATTAAACGTCCACAAACCATAATAATAAAATGATCCCTTCTCAAGAAACTGCTACAAAGGAACTATCTCTGTGGTATTGGTTTTGTTAAGCCACCAGATGAAGTCTTTAGGTAAGGAAAGAGGAAGGAGAATGGTGAAAGATAAGGGATCCCATGTATAATTCATCTGATCATGCAAAGGCCATTGTAGACATTGCATGACCCAAGAGGATATGGGATTCCATGGAAGCCCAAGTCCCCTAAAGAGAGATACCTCCTACACAGTGAGAGATGGAAAGAATGAGGCACGGAAACTAAACATTTCATGTCCCTCAAATAAAGAGGAGAAGGCTGGGCCATGTGGAAATGCAAATTGAAAAACACCCAAATGAAGAAGATACAGAGTGGGTGTGAGATGCAACTACTCCAGGTTGACCAACCAACCCAGGACCACTGCCTCCTGAGGAAGTAGAAGGAGATAATTGGATAAGGCTAGTTGGGATGGAGCAAAAAACCAGTCTCCATGGTAAATCTAGGAGGTTTGAGAAACTGACCAAGACTTGAAATACTTATGAATGAATGACAACCGTCAGATACCTTGGAAACAATGAAAAGATGAGAATAAAATCCTGGAGAGGGAAGACAAACCTGTTCAATGGTGTCTTTAGTCATTAGGCCAAATACTGCTATGGACAGACATTGGTAAGAAACAAGATCCCTTGGAGAAGGGAAATTAATGGGGACATGAGACAGTGGAGGAGGAGAGGAAAAAAACAACAAAGGGTAAGGCTCTATGACCATACTCCCACTTCCCAACAATCAGCCACTAACGGAGGGCAAAGGTCTGTAATCCAAACTAAATGGGCCTTACTGTCCCTGAACCTATAGAACAGTCACTGCAAAGACTAACAGTACTGAAGACCACAAGCTGTAGAAGGACAAATGGGAACAGAGGAACGGGAAATGGGGACAGAGAGGGTAGAGGAAGCAGGAGGACAGGAGACAGAAAGATGTAAAGAAGGAAAACGGGAGAGAAAGAAAACAGTGAGGAAAAATAACATAGACATGTAGCACCAACATGTGATTCCACAGAAACAAGCACTTCAGTAAAATTACACTGGCAAAGAAAGGAGCCAGAAAAAGATATCATAGAAAAATGTTAGGCAAAAACATATGAGTTAGAAGGGTGTTTTTTCCTAACATATTGTAGCAACAGGTCAACCAAATATGAAACAATATGGCTGAGGAAGATAATCACATCACTACAGAGAAGATAAGTGAACAAGTATCCACCAGAAACCTTTCAAGGAAAATGGTGGATTGATGGAGAAAGAAGGTGAATGGAACAAAAATAATCTAAAAGGGTAAAGACTGTAAGATGAAGGTGGGAAAAAATTAAGCATAAAAAAAGTTGAACAAAGATTCGACTAACATGTCTGAAGAAAAGGTTCCAGAGTTGAGGAGTCTAAGAAAGATAATACAGATCAATGTGATGACCAGGCATACGAGGTAACAAAGAAAGAACAATGAGGCATGCATGCATGCACCAAAGTTGGGGAAAAAAGCAATTGAATATAGACTAGCATATCCGAATAGAAAGTAAAATAAATAAAAGTAAGAAGCAGGGTACAGATTACAAGGGATAAAAAGAAAAAGTACTTGACCTGAAATTATGAAAAAGGCTTAGATGGAATTAAGACAGCATGAGTATGAGATAAGGCAAAAGCAGGTGTTGGGAAAAAAACCTAGCTAAATCCCTTCTGTTATGAATGGGAAACATAGACAAAGATATTTCAAGCTCAAAAGAAGGTCCATGCCACATGAAAGACTTGACCACCTGCCACACAAAAGCCATCACTTCCCCAACAGACAAAAACAAACCCAAAGCCATTTTAGTTGCTAGTCTAGCAAAAAAACATCTTGTTGACCCACACCAGATAAAGTGGAAATAAAGACCACAAATTTTGCATAAAATGTTGAAAAACACAAATCTTCTACAAAAAAAAGCAACAAATGCCTATAGCTGAAAAGTTTCCAAGCAGAAAAACAAAAAAAAGTTATAATTGAACAATAAGTATAGATGGATTCTGCTGCACTAAGACAGTGTCACTCACCTATTGGTGAAGGGTTGTCCCATGCTTATTTGCATACTACAGCACAAAAATAGCATGTGGAAACATAAGTTTAGGTGGGAGCCTCAAGGTTAGTGGCAAGCAAAAAATTAGGAAAAGTTAATGTGTGAAAGGAGGTAAGGTATTGTATCAGAAGTATTAATTACAAAGTTGAAATAAAATACAGTTAACTATGTCTTTGTTTGACAAGATTAATCAAGTTTGAAAAAACAGTAATTGTACTTATTTCGTTGGACATCTGGGTTCATACTGCAGGTCCATTCATCACTGATCTCAACATCTACATTCTTGGATGAGTAAGGTAACCGACGCCACTTCAAGCATGAATCTACAAAATCCATAAACTTAAGGGTTCATCTATCCCACATCAAAATATACATTTTTGGATAAATATATATAGTTGACCACTTCAATCATGTACCTACAAAATTAAGTTGAGACACCATAAAAGTGGTAGCAATGAAAAGCTTGTAGCAATAGAACTACTGACAGAAAAGGAAAATCATGTGAAAAACAAGATATGAATAATTATGTATTTTCAAGGTATGACAGCTTATTAGCAAATATAAATCTACACTTCGATATGAACAGATAAATTCTAAAAAAAATCCATAAATGCACTGTTATCAAGTGAATTTTTTCAGAGCTGTATTATATAATGATAAAAATATAATTTATACAAAATAGTATTCAGTAAAAACACTATTCAAATAGAGCTAAAATTATAATTTTAATTTTAATTTTGCAATTTGATATGGAGGTGTACACTTGATATCTCAAGTTGCACGTCGGTCCTGACAGGGTTAACCCTATCTCTACAGGTCTTCCTATAGTCACTGGTCAAAGTTTAGTATCAAGCTGTAGACTATAATTTAAATTTTAATAAGATCCATTAGTTAATTTCTTAATTTAAAACTAAATATTAAAAAAGAAATCCTAAATATTGACTTTTGTGTGTCATGTGGTATGTTGAATGCAGCATTGGTTCAAATTAGATCTTTGTGATGTCAAATACAAAATCTATAATTTCTTACAAAATAGGAACTCAAATTACCGATATTTACAAGCTAGAATATAAAAGAAGAACCTCCTACATTTTCTATTTGCTGAGATACTGCTACATGTACTGAATAAACACAGTGGCCCCACCCACCTCTTTTCATTTTTGGAAATACTTACTTCTGTCTATGACCTGTGAATAACCAATTGAAAGCTCAGAACATCACCCTAGTGGCTTTCTAAGCAAAACTGAGGTATTCAGTGCCAAACTCATTATTCTAAAGCTTGGATTCGAAAAGGGAAGATGAAACTTAGTTACCAAGCTTAATAAATTATAGTAGAAATCGATGGTATTGATATAGTAATTTATGATTATTTGTTATTTCAAGAAATATATGTAACACTTAAAAAAATTATTTTGTTTCACACCCTCCATGTGAAAATTTTGATAAGACTCAGCAACCTACGGCAAGCAGCAAACGAGTTCAAAGATCATAACTTGAAGAGATAATTATTTTCTATAATTCTTTATTTACTGTTCTATGTTTTAAGAAAAATCACTGAAATTTAAGAGCTTATTTTAAATATTAATAATGTGTATACATATATATAATGTATTATAACTGAAATGCGAGTGTATTTTACAAAATACTAGTCTACTAAAACACAGCCAAGACAGGTCACTTTGTAAAGGCCAGCTTTATATTATTGGCTAAGGTATAACATGAGTGCATGTGTGCTGCATCACTGAAACCTCAAAATGTTAGACAGGCACAGCTGAAAGGTCAATATAATAAAAATAATAAATATATATAAATGTATAATGTTATGAAATTTCAGCTATTTAGATTAAACATTTGTGTTTTCGTGTTATAATATATATATAGTTATTCTAGAACAAAAAAAACATAATTTATATTTATTTCCTAATTTTTTATTGGGGTTATGAAGCTGGTCAAATCAAACCAACAAATACAGAGATACAGTAGTGAAACAGATAAAATATAGGTTGTTTCTTTGGAAAAATTTTGATAATTATCTGGAGGTTATAAAGATTTCACACGTGAAATTTGAAAATGTTCTAATGCATAAAAGTATTTTTAATCTTAAAATCAAAATTACTTTACATGTTGGATAGCCAACATTCTGAAAGAAAAAAAATTATGAGAAAATCTTTAATTAAAAAATCTTATACCTTAATTTAAAAGCCTGATATTTTGTGTATGAAAGCCTTGTAATGTTTACCAATAACCTGCAAACTTTTGTAAGGATATGCATACATTATCAAAAATCATAGAGTAATTACTCCCATGGATACTTTAGTGGTTACGGGGTGGACCCAGCCCATAATGGAAGGGTTGAGGTTTCTTCTGCCAAAAACTAAATTAACATTATTGAGTGAACAAGGAAAATGATGCCACTTCAGTCACAAAAACCACAAACTTAAGCTTTTATATATCACAGATCAAAATTGACACTCAGTCACATTAGTACAAAACCCATTAATTGAAGTTTTTATCTATAAAAAAATCAATTAAAACTGACAAGGCTAATACAACTTCAACTATGATACAATAAAACCCAAAACTTCAGCTTTCACATAGATTAAAATCTATATTCTAGGTTAAATAAGGCATGCTGCTTCATGCATGTAGTTACAAAACTCATAAATTTAAGCAATCCCCTATCACAAATCCCTATCATATTTAATAAACTGATTCTAAATAACTAATAAAATGAAACAATGATACTGCACCTTCTTCTTCAGATTATACTTTTTTTAATTTTAAGTAACTATATGTTTTAGGGTTGCAACTTTTTCAAGAACTAGTTTCTACAAGAAAGAATGGTTAAAGAAAAATACGGATTTAAATAAGCTACAGTGAATATCATCTCCTAATAGTCACCCTTTAACTCTCTTGCCATGGGCAGGTCAAAGTGCACAAGTCATGATTTTTTAGAGCTACTTTCAAAATTAAATTAAAATACTTTACTGTCATAGCATACAAATAAATTTGGCATCAAAATGTAGTTAATAAATATATTTTAATATTATATAAGTTTTAGGTTAATAATTCTATAAGGAAAAATTTTTAAAAATCCTCAATCTCCTCCAGCTTAAGAATTGACA